CAGAATTAGTTCTTCCACTTGCTCGAGTTTTCGAAATGACAAACAGAAAACATAAACAGCAAAAGAAAAACTGAAACTGTGATTAATTTGCAAAGAGTGACTGCAAAAAAGGGAAAAATGAAGCATTTTTGATCGAGGTTAAACGCACAAATGCAGCCTTAGCAGAACTGTGTGCACGAAATCGAAGACAAAGTTCGAGAATTCCAATTAGAACTATTGCTCTGACACTATCACAATCAATACAAATTTTGAAAATTTTGACGAATTAAAAGCTAAAGCAATCACAAAGTACCTCTCTTTGCGTTCCTGCAGACCTTGAAGGTAGTTCTTGTAGTGATTCTCAATGAACTGCTTTGCCGCCACCGCCTTCTGCCGTGTGACCGGCGACGAAACCGACACGTCGGGACCCGACTCGAAGCCGCCGACCCGATCCGGCTTCAAGTTGAGAGCGCCAAGCCTCATCGTCCCATCGCCGCCGTCCATTTCCACCGACGAACGCGATCAAATCAAGCTCGAATCCACAGCAAAACGGATCAAAAGCTCAGCATTTCAGCGGCGGAGAAGAGAAGCTTCCGGTGGCAGTAATTCGATGAGAGATCTGGCCCCCCAAGTGTTTGCGTAAATGACAGAGTAAGAGGATGCTAGGGAGTATGCACTGGCGGAAAGGGATCCTCTCTCCGCATCCCTTCCAATCAGTCATCAATCCGGACCATTGAAATTTAATCCAACGGTTAAAATTATTATAATTTTTAAAGAAATCCTATATTTTTAACAAATTTCAAAGAATCAAATTGATGGATTTGATTAAAGGAATCTGAATATCCTTTTCCTGCACTGGCATATACTTGAGAGTATAATATTATAAATATATTCAGTATTTATATGCTGACTGGATAAATAAATAAATTAATTAAATAATAATCATTTTTGTTTTTACATTTTCTGGATTTTCTTGGGAATGGAGGACAATCGACGGCAGCGTTTTACTTGCATGAACTGGAATCTTGGTGGCCGGATTTTTTATTATCATTTTATTAATTTTATTCAGACTTGTTATTGAGAGAAGAAGGAGAGAGAGAGAGAGAGAGAAGAAAAGGCGGAGATCTGAATATGGTCTAGAATGTACGAGTTTCGATCGAGTGCGTGAGACTTACGGTTTCGGGGGTGGACCTGGAGAGGACATTCATAACCTACTTTGTACCTGGAAATTTGGAATGATGTGTCGGCGTTGGTATCTTGAGTTACTGCATTGACCGGTACTTCAAACAAATTATGTGTAAATGATTTGCGGAGCGTGAATATAATTATAAATAGACAAAAGTTAAAAAGAGGATTTTTGTTAGAAATTGAAGTGGAATGGGATCAATGTATTAAACTGATTATTTTCGTAACTATATCAGATAATAAGTGCAAGTACAAAGAGAAAGGAGCTTGGTATTCACTTTCTACTTTTGATCTTGTGTGCCAGGAAAAATAAAGATTAGCATAAATTGTTTGCTAGGAGCAAATGGTTCTTTACTACAGTGATGAAAAAATGTTGAGTCATTGCATGACGGCATGGGTTCAAACCTCGTCGGTGGGTAATCTAACATGTAATCAAACAAAATCTATCGTTTGATAAAAAAAAAAAAAAATAAATAAAAAATTGTTTGCTAAGATAGGTAGGTAGAAAGATGGGATAATTTTTACATTACAACCGTCCCTTTATATGGGAAAGTCTTACACCCATGGGAAAAAATTGCATGATAAAAATGTCATCCAAGTTTACTATGTCACCTAAATTTTTTAATTATTGTCACCAAAGTCCATTTTCATTTGCTTTTTCATACATTCATGTACATAACATTCAAACTATATTCACAACACAACTAAATCATTTTCTGTCAAGAATACAACTACAAGAGTTTCTATTTATATGATGTTATATTGTAGGTAGAAAGATGGGATAATTTTTACACTACAACCGTCCCTTTATATGGGAAAGTCTTACACCCATGGGAAAAAATTGCATGATAAAAATGTCATCATCCAAGTTTACTATTTCACCTAAATTTTTTTATTATTGTCACCAAAGTCCATTTTGATTTGCTTCTTCTTACATTCATATACGTAACATTCAAACTATATTCACAACACAACTAAATCATTTTCTATCAAGAATACAACGACAAGAGTTTCTGTTTATATGATGTTATATTATTAGCAGAGGACACTACAGTGATGGTAAATCTAAATTTATGTCATAAATATAGAGAACAAAGCGAAAAAGAAGAGGAGGAGAGAGAAGTGCAAAGAACAAGAAGTATGCGAGAGATAGAAAAGAAGTATGAGAGAAATTAGGAAGAAGAAGGGAAGAGAGGAAAAATAGGAAGAATGAAATGAAAGAGAGAAAAAGAATTGTATGATAGATACCTCAATTGTAAATGCAAAAACAATTAAAAAATAAATCATAACATCATTTGCTAGATGGATAAGTTTTGTGCCTCTATAAAATAAACCAAAAACATGTCCCTCTAAACTTGAACCACGTTATTGTTAGTTCATTATGAGGTTAAGTTCACATCTTTTCCTTAGTGCAGATAGTATCATTTGTTATAAAAAAAAAAAATATATATATATATATATATATATATATAGATAGTGTTATAATTTGGCTCTATGTCCTAAATTCCTAATTAAGGTAGCAATGTTTTATTGGAACGGTGCGTTTTACGCCTCAGACGATTTGGGGTTGCTCCTAATTTACGGAAATTTTTAGGGTTTCTGTTCCTTTTCATGCAAGGAATTTGGTTCGCTTTTCCTAGTTGCCTAGGAATTTGGATGTAACCATATGACATGCAGCGCGCCTTGTGGATTCGAATTTTGCTGGACGTGCCTCGAATGGTGGAACTGGCATGGTCTTAATTATTCTGGTAATGGTTTCCTGGAGGGGTGGAGAGTGAGCATAGTAGGAGAACGAAAGAAATGACAAACATATCTTTGAAGGAGATGTCGAGGTGTCTTCTAACAGATTTGTTCGTTATTATGAACTTTGGGTATATAACCGCGTGTACAAGAAAATAGTCGTTGAAGATTTTCATCGCCTTGTGCAAGATGTTCATTTGAAGAAGCTCAGTGTGAAATACCTACAAACGAATCCGGTTCTTGATTTTGTCGTGGAGGCCTGGCAAGAGATTATCGAATGCAGACGGGTGCTGCAGTGGATCTATGTGTATGGTTACTTTATCACCATGCATGAGCGCGTTAAGAGACAGTTGTTTGAGTACTTGCTAGACGAGGCGGAGAGTGGCTTGGAAAAGCTATGTCATTGTGCAGAAGTGGAACTGGAAGAGCAGATTATCAATGCTGATCGATCTATTGAAGAGTTCTTCGAATTTCGAGGAAAGCTGATACAGCTGACCGTTACGATTGGAAACTACTTCAGAAACTTTGTAAGAGCGATGGAGAATGATTTTCCGGAGGTAGTGGATTATTCGGAGAATGATTTTCCGGAGGTAAGTGTGGATTGTTGGCCTTGCGATCGCTGCACCTATGTCAATGACTGTTCTGCCTCCGTGTGCTTGATGTGCACAGGAGGGGGGGATTCTCCGGTGCTCGCCAAGTGCGAATCTAAGAAGAGACAGAAATCTCCGGTGCATGATGCCATGTCGGAATCCAAATCCAAGAAGCGGAGGAGGAAGTTTAATCGTAAAAAGTGTGAATTTAAATTCTAAGAAAGAGAAGAAAAAAAAAGGATTAAATCCCTTGACTTTGTTTAGTTCCTCACCAAAACAATTGGCTTAGATTGTTTCGATGTTTTAGCAACAAGAACCAAAAGAAATATTGTATAACTGCTTTTACTGCACAGAACAAGTAGAATCGACCGCTTGATTTTGGTCTTTTTTTGTTTGATTTATTTAATATGATGGTAAAAAAAAATGAAAAGAGGAGTGTGTGTAAGAGAAATATGTTATGTGTTTATTAACTTCCGCCATCATGCACAATTATAGAACTTTGACATTAAATGGTGTTTGACAATCATTTTGTTTACAACTTTTTGTCTAGTTTTTTTTTTTAAATTGAAAATTTGTTTGATAACTAAGTTTTCGTTTTTAAAACAATAAGACCTAAAAATTTTTAAAATGAAAAGTCGACAAGTAAGCCTATTCGAGGTAGAGGATAAGGATCCTTGGGGCATGCTTGTTCGAATTTGTGAAATCTACAGAGACTCTCCACTTGCCATTCTTCTTCTGCATAAGGACTGTGTTGGCCAGCCAATTGGATGATGGACTTCAACAATAAAGCTGGCGTACCTAAGTTTGTCAATCTCAACCTCAATGAGTTTACTCTGCTCCGTTACATGATTGCACTTTCGCTGGATAACCAGTTTTATGGTTGGGTCCAGATGAAGATGCTAACAGATTACCAAATGATCAAGGCCAGATATGTCTTCGGTGGGCCAAGCGAATATGTCCTTGATATTGAAAACCAAATTTGAAAACTTAAAAACTAGTTTTTTAATTTTTGATTTTCAATTTTCATGCTTTTTGAAAAATGAAACTAGTTATCAGACACGTTTTAGTTTTTATTATTTAAAGAAAAGTGAAAGATGAAAACGAATACTTGTGCTAGGAATACAGTATGTCAAATTCCTAACCGCGTTAAGAGGCAGTTGTGACTACTTGCTTTTAGTCTTCAGATCAGCTGGTGCTCCAGGGTGATGAGGAAGGGGGGTGTCGGTCACCAAGTCGGGTGGCTGACGTGGTCGCTTAGTACTGTTAGGTTAGATGGTTAACTACTTGGAAATGGATGGATAACAACTTGGACATGGATGGTTAATTACTTGGACATGGATGGATAACAACTTGGACGTGGATGGATAACAACTTGGACATGGATGGTTAACTACTTGGACATGTGTCTGAATCTGAAAGGAGGGCATTTTTTTGGTACAAATAATTGGCAAAGGAGATTTGAAGCCCTGCTTTCACAGAACAATTAGGAGTAATAATTCTTCTTCTTCTTCTTCTTTCTTTTTTAATCAAACTGAGAATCAAACCTAAGATTATTTACTTACCACAAGACCGTAGTACTAAGTAACTATAAGTAATCATTCTTAATTACAGAGATTTTGTTTTGTTTCCATATCTCTGTTGCTTTATTTGTTTGTTTAAACTTAGTACAGAACAAGAGTTAAAAAAGATCCATTAATGGATGTCTTTCAAGTTGTTGAACAATTAAGCGCGGATAGCTCACCTCTACCCTACAAATTTAATATTTGTCGGTTCTGTCATCCCAACTAACATCATTAAGTCCAGTGGTGGGAAGAACAGATGTGAGACCACAACCATCCATCCTGCACTTTCTCAGTTCCGATCTCTTGGTTCTCTGTTTCCACTGCTAACCGAAAGATGGCCGAGGCACTCATTTCCGTGCTTCTCGAACAACTGGCTTCGATAACTTACCAGCACGTCGAGAAAGAGGTGAGCCTGGTTTTGAATGCGGAGGAAGATGTTGCAAAATTCGCTCGCAACCTTGAAGTGATTCGTGCTGTGCTTGAGGATGCGGAGCAGAGGCAGGTAAAGGATGCCGGCGTGAGAAATTGGCTGGAGAAGCTGGAAGATGTGTCGTACAAGATGGACAATGTGCTGGATGAGTGGAACACTGAAATACTGAAACAACAAGTTGAGAAGCAAGAAGAGCACGGTGGAAGTACTTCTCTTGTTACTAAGAAGAAGATGAAGGCGGTATGTTTCTCTATTCCCTCCTCTTGCTTTTGTTTTCGTCAAGTCAGACGGGTAATTCGTGGTCGTGAGATTGCTCTTAAGATCAAACGTCTGAATGAAAATTTAGATGAGATTGCTGAGGAAAGACAGAGATATAACTTTCAATCCATGGAGAGAACGACCATTGAACAACCCGAGCGAGAGAAAACTTCTTCTTTTGTTGATGCATCTGTGACATTTGGTAGAGAACAGGAAAAGGAAGTTTTGGTCAGCAAGTTGTTGAATGAGAATAGTCAAGAAGAGAGGGGCCTCCTTGTCATCCCTATTGTCGGGATGGGAGGAATGGGGAAGACAACTCTGGCCCAACAGGTTTTTAACGATGAAAATGTTAAAGCCTGTTTTGATATCAAAATTTGGGTTTGTGTTTCGGACCCTTTTGATGAGATCAAAACTGCCAAAGCCATCATTGAGGGTGTCGAAAAAGATACCAGCCCAAATTCAAATGAATTGGAAACTGTCTTGCAATGTATGTCTAAATCTTTTGAGGGAAAAAAGTTCCTCCTTGTCCTGGACGATGTGTGGACTGAAGACCAGAGAAAATGGGAGAAATTGAAGTTGCCATTAAACCGAAGTGGCGCCCGTGGCAGTACAATATTGGTGACCACTCGAAAACAGGATGTTGTTCATATGATAGGAGCTCTCACACAACAGATCGATTTGGAGAGGTTGAGCGAACCAGATTGTTTGTCAATATTCAACTGCATGGCATTTTTTAGTAGAGATAAGGATAGTGAGTTGGAAGCCATTGGTAAAGAAATTGCAAAAAAGTGCAAGGGTTTGCCTCTTGCTGCAAAGACTCTGGGCAGTCTCATGCGTTACAAGAAAACGAGGAAAGAATGGCAGGAAGTTTTGGACAGTAATATATGGGAGCTAGAAAAGTTTGAGCAACAAGTTTTCCAACCACTATTACTGAGTTATTTTGATTTGGCACCTGCGGTCAAACGATGCCTTTTATATTGTGTTATTTTTCCAAAAGATCATTTGATCTATAAAGATTATTTGATTGAGTTGTGGATGTCACAAAATTATCTCTATTCGAAGGAAAAAATAGAGAAGAAAATAATTGGCCAAAGGTGTTTCGATAATTTAGTAATGCGATCTTTCTTCCAAGACTTTGAAGAAGATGTTCTAGGAAATATCTGGAGGTGTAAAATGCATGATATTGTGCATGACTTTCTGCAGTTTCTTACTCAAAATGAATGCTTTACAATGGAGGTTAAGGGTGGTAACGATACAATAGAGGCCTTGGGTGACAAGATCCGCCATTTGACCTTAATGTTTGCACCCGAGGGTCAACTCTCAAGTGTTTCGTTTTCCAGCTGCGATCTACGTACTCTCGCAACTTTTGATTCAAAATTTAATGTTGTGGACTCAACTTTGGTCTCGCAATTGAAACATCTTAGGACATTAAATTTGAGTGGTGGTTGTATTGAAGTGCTTCCGGAAGAGATAGGTGAATTGGTGCATCTGAGGTTCATTGATTTGTCTGAAAATTATGATTTGAAAAAGCTACCGAGTGGGGTGTGTAATTTATACAATTTGCAGACATTGCGCCTTCGCGGGTGTTGGAAACTTGAAAGTCTACCTCAGAGCATGGGAAAGTTGATTAACTTAAAGCATCTTTATGTTGGTGGTTGCAGTGAGCTGAAGTACTTGCCGAAAGGGATTGGGAGATTAACAAATCTAAGAAGACTAGATCGGTGCCCTGTTGGCGGTGGTAAAGACGACGATGAAGCGTTCAAATTGGGAGATTTGAGAAACTTAGACCAACTTCAGGGGGGAGTCAAAATAGATATTGATGGGGATGTGGAAGTTGCTGTGGGTGAGGGTGAGAAAGCATCACCCCTGGGGAACAAACAACAACTCTCAGAATTGGATATAATTTTTGACGAGGGAAGAAGAAGCAGCAGTAGTGCAGAAACACTGAATTTTTTACGACCGCATCCAAATTTGGAATTGTTAAGAATTGAAAGGCATAATGGAAGCACTGCCCCCAACTGGATCATGTCATTAAACAATTTGAGATATCTCTCTCTCTATGAATGGAATGAATGTGAAGTTTTACCTCCTTTGGGAAAATTGCCGTCCCTCGAAACACTCTGGCTTTGGGGCATGAAAGGAAAAAAGGTTGGAGTTGAGTTTCTGGGAATAGAAAAGGAAACGTCATCAGCATCATCATGCATTACTCTATTCCCAAAATTGAAAACACTCACATTTTCCCTAATGGAGGCGTGGGAAGAGTGGAAAGGAGTGGAAGAGTGGAAGGAAGAGGATTCTCATATTACCATAATGCCATGCCTTTCTTCTTTACAGATTTCTCGGTGCCCTCAGCTAAAAACAATATAAGATTCAAAAATATACGATAAGAAATGGTTACACTATAAGAGACCAAACTCTAATGCCTCCATCCTCCAACCCTGAAATCGGCAGGGAGCCATCATCCAAAAATACCAAGCAACTAACACCTCTGTCGTGAGCATGCCATTTCTTAAGCAGTCTACCGGTATTAACCTTAATAAATACAAAAAAAATATGTTCATTAGCATTTCAGAGCTCAAAAAAAGATAAATTCAAAGAGGTGAAAAAAATTGAATAGGAAAGTTAACCTTCCACAAGTAGATATTCCCCGACGTGCCTTCGCTGTTCGCAGCGAGCGAATTGATCAGTTCTTCTGGGAACTCTTGACATCAACTTGCGGCTGCACATCAAAAATCCCAAAATTCAATAAAAATGCAAGCTTTATCAGTTGAGGCAGTTCATCAAACAGGTTGTGTGCATAAGAAAGGAGGTGATCTTACCTTGGACCACGGCCGTGAGGCGGAGGGGCGCAGAGCTTGTAGCAGAGCTGCTCGGCACCGGTGCGGAGGTCCCAGCAGCCAATGCCGGCTTCGACGGATGACGAGGGTTTTTATTGAGCGTTTTGAAATCTCGGACAGAGTAATGGATACGTAAAACGTTAATGGTGCTGCTCTGAGTGCTCTCTGAGATTTTTGCCAGGGTTTATGAAAGGCGCGTGGCTAGACACAAAAGGCGGGAAGGTTCTCAAAACCGGGCCGCTGGCAATTGTTTGAAAGTTTCTAATTGTTGTCCCAATTCTGGATCAATTTTTTGTATATCTTTTCATTGTTCAAGTTTTCTTATATGATAAAACAAAACAAAACAAAGTTTTTAGTTGTTGTCCACTGTTGATTGATTTGGACATCTTTCACTGCCATCTCTTGAGGTTTTTCATTTTTAATTCAACCAGTCGATTTGAATTTCAAAATTTTAATTGGCATTTTCTGAACGGAACAAAATTAAAGGTCGTTGTAGTGCTGGATGTCATATTTATTCTCATTCCCGTTAAAAGATGACACAAACTTATCATCTCTACCTTATTTGATAAAGTTAGCAATTATGTTATTTTTAATTTTTTATTAATGTTTAATCCACGAGGCGTTCATGCAATTTTAATTAAGCAAAAACAGAACCTCAAGTGAGCCACGCCATGATTTAATAATACTAAAATAAACATCATAATTTGCTAAGATTGACATGATGGCTAAGAAGATTGAAGGCTTGGGCATAGTCAAATTGGGTAAATAAATGTGTTCTTCATGTACATTCAAGTTTAAACTTCTATTTTCGTTGTTCGAATTAATTTAATGTGAAATATCGCTGATATAAATTAGAAATTTAAAACATGAGGATGCAAAGCGTTATATGAAACACACTTCAAGGTGGTAAAATGTAATTACCTCATAATGTATTGCATTTTTAGGCAATGGGAGATAAGTTTCACACACTTTTTTTTATCAAATTGAATAAATTAAACGAAAACAATGATCATAATTAAATGAGATGTTAAAAATTTGTGTGTTTATCAGGGCAATTCGTAGAGTCATTGTGCTCAAATACTGAGATTCGAGTCCTTTAGAATCACGGTTTATGTTTGTCCCTTGTGACTGATGCGTATCAGGCTTCTTTTAGGCCCAAACGGATTTCTCTTTTCGGTTGAACAAAATGGACTTCCTGTTTCAGCAAGGCATCTCCCATTCGCAATTGATGGTCTTCGGACCAGAAGAGAAAAATATTGGTTAAAAAAGTTCATGCATTACTTGCCTATATAAGAGCAACTCCACCCCTAAAGACTTTGCGCCAGCAACCAGCGCATTTATCCACTCAGTAAATAGTGATAGACTCCAATGAACAGTAATAAGTCAAGAGCATTTCCACCCCTAAAAAAAAATAGCCTACTCAATTTTATTAAAATATTATTATTATTTATTATAAAATAATAAAATAATAATTGTATTATAAAAAATAAAAAAAGGGTAAGTCATCTTTCTACTAACCCTCTGCACTCTTCCTATAATCCCCAACCGGTTCTCTCTCTCTTTCTCTATTTTCTCTCCCTCTCTCTCTTTTCCAGCTCACTCCCGTGAGCTCTCCTTCTCATTCCTCTTCAAAACCTTCAACAAATCAACACACAAAATATTATTTTTGTAATCCATGGAGCTCAAGGAACCCAACCATGGCCTTGCATGCGGCATCGGTGCATGGTGGGAGATCCTACCATTGAAGCCGAGAGCTTGAGCTCTCAATCTCTAACCCAAGTGATGTTTCTATCACTGTATTGTGTTCTTAAGCTTTAAATCCTGTTGTGTTGCAATTTTTGTGGTTAATTTGAGGGCTTAATTCCCTGCATGTGATTTCGGCAAAGGAAAACGGACAACTCCGACGAGTTCAAGATCCAATCTCGGTGAAATCTCTTGCATTTCACCTGGGTAAGTTCTCAATCCTATTCTTATGGTTTCTAACATATAAATCGTGTTGGAAACCCTTGTGTTGATGCAAATTTGCTGTCAGTGCATTTTTTTTCAGATTTTCCGTCGAACTCGAGCCATCATTTTCAGGCCATTTACCTTCTCCCTCCGTCGCTCCATCCATCCCTGACATCACCACAGCGTCATACGGGCCAGTCCCAAGGTCTGTCAATTTTGGGTTGGCCTGGAGATCAGCTTGGGCTGGGTGCCAGGCAATCCCGTGGGCTGGAGAGACTTCCCTAGGTGCCGGGCCATTTTTTTGGCTGTGTGCCGGCCTATCCCACCACCGGTGGAAGTGCGCTGTTGAATTTCTTTTCTCTAGCCATAATTATTTAGATAATTTTTATATTCGCCCTTAATAAAAATGGTTTATCCCGATGGAAAAAAATGGAAAATGACTGATTCTCCATTTTGCTCCGCCGTCAACTGACTTCTTCACCGACCTCTCTTTTCGCCTTGGTACACTTGGGGGAGGCTGGCAAACCTTAAAAGTCAAATGGCTGGATTTGCCAAGACCCTCCAGTGGTCTAATTTAGCTGCTAGCAGGTACAAAGTTTACAAATAAGGGAGTTTTAACAAAACACTTATGATATTGTTTATTTTTAACGAAAAATCACATTTTTAACTTTTTTGATACTATTTACTACACTTTGATATTCTCAGACAGAGTAACGGATACATAAACGTTGATGGTGCTGCTCTCTGCGATTTTTGCTAGGGTTTTTGAATGGCGCGTGGCCAGACACAGAAGGCGGGGAAGGCTCTCAAAACGGGGCCGTTGGCAATTGTTTGAAAGTTTCTAATTTCTGTCCCAATTGTGGATTAATTTTGTATATATTTTCATTGTTCACATTTTCACATATGATATAACAGAAAAATGGTTTTAATTGTTGTTCATTGTTGATTGACTTCCGACATTTTTCACTGAGATCTCTTGTGGTTTTTTGTTTTTAATTCGACCAGGGTGATTTGAATTTTACAAATTTAATCAGCATTCTCCTTTGTAATGGACGGGGCAGAATAAGGGGTTATTGCGAGGTGGATGTCATCTTTATTCTTTTTTTTTCTTTTCTTTTTTTGTCAAAGGATGTCACCTATATTCTCATTCCTGCTAAAAAAAGGGCACAAACTTATCATCTCTACCTTATTGGATAACAGTTAGCAATTATGTCATTTTTAAATTTTTTTTTATTAATATTTGATCCACGTAGCGTTCATGCGATTTTAATTATGCAAAAACAGAATCTCAAGTGAGCCACGGCATTATTAAACAATACCACGAAAAGACACGTCATAATTTGCTAAGATTAACATGATGGCTAAAAAGATTGAAGGCTTGGGCATAGTCAAATTGGATAAATAAATGTGTTCTCCCTATACATCCAAGTTTAAACTTTGATTTTCGTTGTTCGAATTAATTTAATGTGAAATATCGCTTATATAAGATAGACATTAAACAAGAGGAGTTATATGAAGCAAACTTCAAGGTGGTAAATTGTAATTGCCCCATAATGTATTTGCATTTTTAAGCAATGAGAGATAATTTCACACTAGGTCTCATACACACTATCAAACTGAATAACAATTTGAAACAACGGCCATGATTAAGTGAGATGTTAAAAGGTGCGTTTTTATCATTTCCATTTTTCAGGGCAATTCGTAGAGGCATTGTGCTCAAATACTGAGATTCGAATCTTTTCGAATCAAAGCATATGTTTGTCCTTGATGGCTGATGCGTATCGAGTTTCATTTAGGCCCGAACGGACTTCTCTTTTCAGTTGAACGAAATGGGCTTCATGTTTCAGTAAGCATCGCAAAGTGTTCCAATATCAAGCACAGATGCAAAGAGCTCCAGACTTGTTTGAGGTCTTCAGTTGAAGTCAGAACCAAGAATTCAACACAAATGGTGACCTTAATTCAACTTCCTGTATCCCTGAAGTAGATATGCACGTGAGCAGATCTATATGTGACAGAGCCATGCTAACAGATAATTAAGAAATAAATTCGCAACCAGTCGTGTACCATTGGCTGAGCTACAATTTTGCTTAATTGGAGCGATGATGCTTAGAATTTCGGTTGCTCTAGGCTAAGTATCTCCACATTTTTTGTGTAGATTAACACTGCTCGTCGTCGCGTGTAGCTCAAATCTCGCAGATGCTTACCCACCACTATACGTGCATTTACAACCAAATATGCCGATGAACAAGCAAGACCAGAAAGTAGAAATAGGCCAGAGAAAGGACCAGGACCTATTCCTATTGGATCAGCATTCAAGTTGTTTAAAGTAGTACAGTTAGTTGAAGCAGATATCTTCTATTTTCGTTGTTCGAATTAATTTAATGTAAAGATATCAAAAACATAAACTCGATAATCTAGCAGACAACGAGAAAAGCATGACTTGCTCAGTTACCTCTAGCATTACTATCCCTTCAAAAGGATTTTTACACAACATGATCTGTAAATATGGTTCATGTAACAATATGTATAAACAAATTAAACATGACTATACGATGTTTAAGGAAGGGAGGGAAGAAACCAGCGAAACTACCGAAACAA